AAACGGTTAACGTGTGTCGGTTAAACGCCAGGTCAGACTTAGTAAAATCGATTTTAGCTTCAACAAAATTTTCAGATTCCAAAGACGTAGTTGCAAAGATAATTGTAGAGCAGAGCAATGAGGTGAAGGAGCGTCAGGTTCTTTCTTTCCGATCGCATGGCAATAACACGTTTAGAAATTCACGTGGTGGCTATCGAGGGGCTAACCCAACTCGCAATTTTACTGGTTATAGAAATAACAGGTAATTTTCTTCTAATAATAATAATAACTTCAATAGTTATAGCAATCAACGATATCGACCCGCTAACGGAAACCGCTATCATAATAATAGCAATGGTTCACGGTCTAATTCCAACAGCAGCCCCAATAGGAACAATAATGCACGATCTGCACACGGTAGAAGTAGGAATACAAATGTCGGTGCTCTAAACGCTCATGCCCCTCAGGAGCGAACACTGGGAGANAACGGTAGGAGTAGGAATACAAATGTCGGTGCCTTAAACGCTCATGCCCCTCAGGAGCGAACACTGGGGTAGCAGGAGTTAGACAACTAAACGATTTTCCTGTAACCAAAGGCATTTACTGCTTAAACCTAAACTATTCAGATTTCATTCAATTACAAATTTCCGGGTCTAATAAATTATGTACATTTTTGGTTGACACGCAAGCCGACATTTCTTTAATTAAAATGTCAAGTTTTCATAAATATTTTCCAATTGATACGAATGATATTATCCGCATCACGGGCGTCACTTCAAACACTGTTTCAACTCTGGGTAAAATTACGACAAATTTGACTTTTTTATAGAACATACGTTACATGTGGTTAATGACGAGTTTAACATCCCTGCAGACGGTATATTGGGTAAAGACTTTTTAAAAGTCAATAAATGCGTTATCAGCTATGCAAGCCATTGCATTTGCTTCTGGGTAGGTAACAACCCTGAAAGCCAATAGGTGTGAAAAATCTGGTGAAACCGCGGGTTTCGTTCACTTCAAAACTGGTGAAAAATCTGGTGAACTTTGTATGGGCGGTGTGCAGATTTTCACCAGTTTCCCCCTGTACGTGTGAGCCTTGCATCACTGTCGCACTCATTCAGATACTTCCTAAGGAAAACATATAGCTGCACTCGTCTAGCATTGCCCCTTTCAGCCGGCGCAGGGTTGCATTTTCTTCACAGCGAATTCAAAATTACCTTAGAAACTTTAAATAAAAAATCCAAAAAAATTTTGATTTTTATTTNCCCAAATTTTGATTTTTATTTTGCAAAATTTATTTTCAAAATGCATTGATTACCTAATATACATAGCTAATAATCAATATTATGAATAAAAATTGTAATTAACATTAATAAATATATTTTTACATACATATGTGGTTGCTTAATTTCTTATTATTAGTATTACTTATTTGCACATAGATGATTTCAAAAGTTGAAAAATTTCTATAAAAAAGTTAAGCGATTTTAACAATATAATAATCAAAAAAATGTAATCGATATACCTTTCTTTTGATATATATTAACAGTTGCAAATAATTTATAGTGGTCCACAAAAATTCAGTTTTATCACAACTTTGCAAAATTTTACGACTTTTTCACTGCTTACATATAGATGATTTCAAAAGTTACAAAATATCTATAAAAAAGTTAAGCGATTTTAACAAAAGTATAATCAAAAGAAAGGTAATCGATTTATCCTTCTTTTGATATATGTTAACAGTTGCAAATCATTTACATTGGTTCACAAAAATTCAGTTATATTACAACTTTGCAAAATTTTACGACTTTTTCACTGCTTACATATAGATGTTTACAAAAGTTGCAAAATTTCTATAAAATATTTAAGCGATTTTAACAATATTATAATCAAAAGAAAGGTAATCGATTTATCCTTCTTTTGATATATATTAACAGTTGCAAATCATTTACATTGGTTCACAAAAATTCAGTTATATTACAACTTTGCAAAATTTTACGACTTTTTCACTGCTTACATATAGATGTTTACAAAAGTTGCAAAATTTCTATAAAATATTTAAGCGATTTTAACAATATTACAATCAAAAGAAAGGTAATCGATTTACCCTTCTTTTGATATATATTAACAGTTGCAAATCATTTACATTGGTTCACAAAAAATCGGTTTCGTTACAACTTTGCAAAATTTGATTGCGTTTTTACGACTTATATATAGATCTTTTAAAAAGTTGATTTCAAGTAACTGCTGGCGTTTGTCGGACACTTCATATTAAATTGGCAGAATCACCGAACACCATTTACTGCTCCTATGATGACTGCAAACAAATCAAACAATTATAAGTATGCAAAATTGAAGTGCATTAGTAATTAAACAACTACCTCCACTGAATCGAGACGTTTGTAGGCATCTTTCCCTTCATCTTTGTTATCATCTTTCCAATGCAGCATTTTGTAATGGCTATGGGCTACATCCAATAACTCTCCGATAGAAACAATCTAAACGAAAAATTAAAAAAATTTGAATAACTAAAAATAAATAATTTATGTATTAAAATATATATATTTGTTTAAATGTAGCTGCCGATGCTTCAAGACGTCTTTTGTACAGCAACCTGAAATTAAAATAAAATGGATAAATTATTGTTGTGGATGCAACCAGTTAGATTCTATCTAAAAAATAAAGTAAGAAATTATTATTTCTCCAATGAAATATAATTCATAAATAATGGATTTTATTTATACAAAAAGCAGATGACTATAGTTTAATTAAGATTAGTTTATTTAGATAAATTCATGCTCATATTTACAAGACTTAATTAATTAAGTTAATCCAACACCAATTTAAACATTTTAAATAAACTTTAAAAAATATATTAATATTTTTAAAAAGGAACAGAAATAGAGTAAGGAAGTTTAAAATATACAAAATTATATAACACATTCAGGAAGCAAATATCATGTTAGAAAAATAAATAAATGTAGTATTTATTATTTTTGGATTTTTTTTGCAGCAAAGTTTGCTATTCACTTACCAAGTCACCGGTGATTCGGCTTACACTGCGGTGGGTTTTTGCAGAGAGCACCTTGCATTCACGCAGCAGTTGACCCTGCGCCTGAACCTCACAACACTCGGGCATCTGAAAATAAAATAAAGTTAAAACATTAGTTAAATTTAAAAAACCTACCTTCTCGGCACGGGCGCTTTCTACGGAGGAAAGCCTTCTCAATATTTCCTCCTGTCGAGACTCCACTCTTCCAAGGGCAGCCAAAATTTGTTGTAGCGCTGTTGAATTTCATAAAATTTAAGTGTAACTTGAAAATACATCAACATATGTATGTTGCTAATTTAATGTACCTGAGTCATTATCCATGGCAGGTTGGGTGGCCATACGGTCGAGGAAAAGCTGGGACACGTCGAAACGGCGAGATCCTCCAGCTATAATGAGAACGTTTCAATTAGGAGAGTGTCACTAATATAATGAATACTGATTCTTCTTACCATTTGCCTGACTTATATCCGGCTCCTCCTCTCCATCAATTATAAAACTGAATTCCATTTCTTTCTAAGTAAAATTATAAAATAAGTTATGTAACATAGGAATTAAAATAAATTTATTCCCTACTGGAATAGCAAAATACTTATGGTCTATATCTTCTCTCTTAATAATTTGAATGTCTTCATCTATAATTTGAGCTACAAAAATACCTAAATCAGATGAGGACACCACGGGCTCCCTAAAAATGTCCCCAACCTTTGTCAAAACTACAACGCCAAAACTGTCTGTTTGGGTTTGTTGGTTGACAATTTTTAGGGATCTCGTTTTTTTACTAAAGAAAAAACTATCTTTTTCTTTTTTGCAATTTATAATAAACTTATCTATTTGTGAAATTTTGCTAGAATCCGTAATATCTCTTCGTTCTTCTATTCTTAAAAATAGTTGCTGCAATATTTTATTTGGATTATTAATAATTTTTTT